AATCATTGCAAAATGGTGAACCGATCTTCAGCACGGAAAATACTCTGAGAACATCCATTGGAGAAATAAACGTCACTTGTAACCTGAAGAAGCTTGATAAATATATCTTTATTCTATAACCATAAAACCAATAATATGCGTGTATGAAAAGAGGGTAAATTTTGGGATACAACAGAAGGACCAAACACACTCTCGCTTCTAGTTATTCGACTTACACTAGAGAAATTATGAACATCCCCTTCGTTGTCTTCAGTAAAATCTTCCTCAGAAGGACGAGGATTTACCTCTTGCTTCACCCCATGGTTATAAACATCAGCACCATAATTCCATTGGATGGATTTCTCACTACTATACAACATGGGTCCAGGTATCGTAATCATCAAAGGAGACGCCCTAGATGGAGTAGGAATGCGTGCAGGGGAGTAAGGAATATATATCACAACAACATCTTCCTCGGTAACCTTTCGGTATCTTGGTCTTCTATCAAACTTTAAGGAACTCTCATCCATCATGAACTGGGTGCCAGCTTTCAAATCATCACAGCCCTTCGGTTGCTCTCTACACTTGGCACGGTCTGAAGCACATCCCAGGAAAATAGAATTGTCAAGAAAATACCTCTTAACATACCACAACAGAGTAGTTACCTGCTCCACATTCATAACTAAATTCAGCATTTCTTCATTATCATCAATCTTATTAACAACAGTCCCTTCATGCCTAGGCATTGGGTTTTGGGTAACATTCGGACCGGTCACTGGAGTAAACTTAATTTCCTTGGAATCCAATAAATCTTGTACCTTGCACTTTGACGCAAAACAATTTTCGGTAGAATGACCAGTTCCTCCATAATGGAATTCACATCTTACGTTAGCATCATAATTAGGAGGAAGTCTTCCGGTGGGTGGTGGCATATTTCTCAAACTGAACTTTAAATCGAGTAAATGGTGGAGTGCTTCAGTAAGAGATACTGATAATGAACGAATTTTCTCGGATGTCTTTGTTGTTGATTATTATACTGACGGGGAGCATCTTGCTGTCTTTGTTGTTTGGGCATCGGGTTCTGTCTCTACTATGGAGGAGATTTAACAGGAATAGAGACAACATTGATTTGTTGGTGTTGACGATCCTCTCCTCTTCTTCTATGGGAGTAAACCAAACTTGTGTTTCCTTCCCTTTTCTCAGGGTAAGCATTGAATGGCTTCTTACCACCCCCTGATGAACCACTGGAACCGCTGATTTGAATCTTCCCAAACTTCAAACCCACCTCATTTCTTTCACCAGCCATAACCAAATCCGCAAATCCTACTGAAGCACTTCCTATCATGTGATCATAAAACGGCCCTTGCAAGGTACTCATAAACATATCAACGAGCTCTCACTCCATGAGTGGAGGTTGAACCCTCGCAGCCAGCTCACGCCATTTCTGGGCGTATACTTTGAAAGATTCTTTTAGCTCATGTGACAAATTCTGCAATTAAGTGCGATTAGGTGCCATATCCACATTGTACTGATAGTGTTTGACAAAAGCTCGAGCAAGATCATTCCAGCATCGAATATGGGTCTTTTCCAGCTTCATGTACCACTCCAGGGATGCCCCAGATAAGCTATCTTAGAAGAAATGAATCAAAAGCCCTTGATCCTCGATATGTATCGACATCTTTCAGAAATAAGCAGTTGCATGAGTAACCGGACATGATGAACCGTTGTACTTTTCAAAGACCGATGGTTTAAACTTTGGTGGAACCTTCACCCCAGATACTAGCCCAAAATCATTAGCATCAATGCCAAGGACTCCTTGCCCTTCCACAGCTTTCAATCGTTCTTCCAACAACTGATACCTTTTATCTTCAATTTGAACATCTGGCTCAGAATACTGCACAGAAGGATGATCTTCATCCTGATCAAGATCATAGTCTTGCTCTTGATAATTTCTTACACCACCCAGATTATCTATCGGTTCCCCACAAGACGAGGTCCCAGAGACGGGGGAAATTTCCCCATGTTGACGTTGCGCAGAAAAGGGTTGCCAGGTGACCCGTGAAAATTCCTGACGAGTTGATCTTGCACATCCCCCAGTCCAATAGAAATGTCCTGATAGAGTCCTTGATTCCGACCATCCACTGGATAGCGGCGTTTATTGTTGACAATGGCAGCCAATTCCTCCTGTAGACGATTCACATTAGTAATGACTTCTATGAACTGGGTCATTTGAGTAGCCATATGGGCTTGCATTTCAGCGAGTTCAGCTTGGATCTGTTCCATCTGTCTTGGAAAATTGTTTCTGGTGGAATACCAATGAGTAGTCGTCTTGAATTCTGAATAAGAAAAGCAGAATTAAGATAAGAAAATTATCCCAAAATGACCTGTAATGTATGAGATGCATGATATGCATGATATGTTTTGTTATTTCCAGGCATTTACAAGCTTTGTCAACCATCAGGAATAACAACCGAGCACAATAAATAACAAAATAAAGATACTAGTGCAATAACAAACTTCTTTATTTACAAAAACAGAAAAACACCAATTCTCAATATCTGCAGGATTCGTATAAGATAAAAATATCCCTTCCAACAAGACCGGTGGTGATCATTTAACAAAAAAACAGAAAACGATAAAAACTTGGAAGGGTGGGTCCCCCATCCTAACATGAAATAAAGGTCCATCCTTTTGGAAATGCTCCTCACTCCACTCTTTGGTCTCCTGTAATAGTTGTCTTGTCCTCGGGCAGTCGCGTTCTTCAACAAGGCTTTTAATCACTACATTCTTTCGGAATAGTTGTTCTTCTAAGTACTGACATTGTTTCAGAAAGTGATCACATTTTTTGCATTCTGGCAAAGAAATAGGTATAGGTGCATTCTCCAATTCTTCTATCTGATTTCTGAGCTTAGCATTTTCTTCCATCACACGAGTCACCTGCTCTTTGCGCTTCTGATCTCGCAATCTGACTTCATTGAGTTGCCTTTCTAGTTCTTTAACCTTTTCGTCATGACATGCTTTTAACTTCGCTTCTGCTACTTGGAGACTCTTAATCCTTTGTTGACTTTTCAAAAGTGCACTATCCTGAGGATTAGTTAAACTGGAATTCTCAATCCTTGACCTCTTTGACTGTTCACATGATCCTTGATCCACTAGTAGACGATCTTTCTCCCGGTTCTCTTTCCAGAGTCTTTTCTTTTCTTGTAAAGCAAAGGATAGTTTAATATTTTTATCTTCCAGATCAGCTTGTAGCTTAATATTCTCAGCTTTGGCGTTCTTGAGGCACGTCATTGGTACAACTTCGGATTTTCCTAGCGCGGATTGCTTAGAAGATGTCCTGCCATGAGAAAGATGATCAACCTCTGGATCATACACAGGTTGCGGGTACACAAGTATGAGGCCATGAGATGTTCTAGGAAAGGTAATTTCTCATTGCACCTTGCTCTTTCTCCTAGGCCCTACGCGAAATTTCAAAAATGTCCCTTATTTTCGAAGATGCATCTCTGAACGCGCAATTTTTCCATAAAATATTTGAATTCAGAAATGTATATTTGAATAAACCTTTTTTTACGAAAAAAAAGGTATTTTCGGATATCCATCCTCGAATAAATCTTATTTCATACGAAAAATATGGTTTCGGAAATGCATTTATGCGTTCTTCTCTGATGTGTTTTTATAAACTTAATATTTGATGTATCTGAATCGACACACTTAGTAACCATGCATCAGCAACGCAACAAATATGTAAATATTAAAAATTTCCCTATTGAAAAGAACAATTGAAAAATAGAAAAACGATTAAAACAAAATTATAAAAATCTTAAAATACAACTAAAAATCAAATAAAATAATTTTTTTTTGAAAAATATGAAAACGAAAAGTAAATCAAACAAAATAGAAAAACAGAAAATTTAGGATTTTTAGGGTGGTGTCCTGTATTTTGCTCTAAAATAAGAGACTTTGATCCCTGATTTTTTTATGATGAATTGACACGGTAAAATTTTGATTCAGAATCGATTTTATAAAAAATCAATTTTTTTACGTTAGGTCGTGTAAATGTCATAAACTCAAGAATACATGGGTCAGAACGCAAGGATACAATTTATATGACTCTAATATTAATAAAAATCGATAGAGTCTCTGGCAATTGCGCCAATTTCAACAAAAATGTGTAGTGAATAGATTATTAAGAGTGTTTTCGGATATGCATATCCGAATTAACGCATAATGAATTCATATATGCATTTCTAAATTCAAGTATTTTGTAGAAAAATGACGTGTTCGAAAATGCATTTTCGAATTTATTCTAGGACATTTTTGAAATTTTAAAAGTGCACCCTATTTAACAAGGGATTAATGCTATTTAGTAGGAAACAATTTGAAAAAGAAATGCATAAATGCACACATGTCAATATTTTAGAAGTGAATTTTAAATTTAATTTCTTTTTTAATATAAATCATAAAATAATAATAATAATGAATAATTAAAATTTATTCTTGCATTTTTTATTTTCACACATTTTCCTTTTCCTTGAGAAATTGCCTTAGAAAAATATATGGAAAGTACCCTTGAATATCCGGAGTGTACACTCTTCTCCTTTCTTCTTAAGGTTACATTGAGCTTAAGGTAACATTAAAATGAATTCAACCATTTCATATATAATAACTCGACAATTATATCATTAAAATTAAGTTTTCATCATAAACTAAATGAAGTAAAGTTATGGTACAAATTGAATTAGTTAATTTATAAGCTGTAAATAATATTTGAAAATATATGTTTTATATTAAAAATAATGAAAGTATTAGTATACTAATTAAAATGTTTTTCTTATTCATTTTTAAAAACGGTTTTTAATAAACAAAAAACAAAAAGGAAGGTGATGATGCTGCGTTTTCAGTGTAATAATATTCAAAAAAACCAATTGTATCTGTTTATAAATAATCTTTCTTTCACTTCCTTTCCCTTTCCCGCTTCACTTTACATCAACAAATTCCAGAGAAAGATTGAAAGAAGATCAATGGCGAACCATGGTGATGCTGCTGCTGCGTTTTGTTATGATGATGTTGATGTTATGGATGCATCATGCCTTACATTCCCACCTTCATCTTTATCATCATCACCACCTTCACCTTTACCATTACAATCTTCATCATCATCTTCATCTTCATCACCACCTAGACCCTTACCATTCCAATACACACCATTAACACCTCCGACTCACCTTCCTATTAATCTACATTCATTCTTTCCATCAGAGATTATGAACCATGATGGTGCTGCAACTTCATCTCATCATCATGCTCTTCTTGAAAATCAAGAGCATTATATAATGGATGCATCATGGCTTACACTCTCACTTCCGTCTTCATCACCACCACCATCACCACCATCACCACCATCTTGGTCTTTACCTCCCACGCCCCTCCCTGTTGATTCGCCGCCATTCTTTTATTCCCAACAACAAGACTATCATCATCAAGAAAAAGAACAAGATGTTTCACTCTCTCCTTCTAATCTTATCACTAACCCTAGCAAAAGCAAGATGATGGAAGAATCTTGTATTCTACCGCCGTCCTCTCCTTCGATGAAAAAGAAAAACCATAGAAAGACTGCGGCAGTAAAACCACCATTCCCATGGGCAACATCGAAACGCGCCACCGTGCACACCCTCGACCACTTGTTATCTCAACTGAACTTGAAAACTATCACTGGAACTCTTCAGTGCAAATCCTGTTTAACACAAACTGACATTCATTTTGATTTGCTTGAAAAGTTTGAGAAACTGGCAAGTTACATCAAGGAGAAAAAGTCTGAGATGTTTCAACGTGCACCGGATGCATGGCTGAAACCCGTGTTGCCAGACTGCAAGAGTTGCGGAAGAAACAACACAATGCAGCCATTAATTGAGAAGAAAAAAGAGATAAATTGGGTGTTCTTGGTGTTGGGTGAGATGATTGGGTGCTGCAATGTTAGGCATTTGAAGTATTTCTGCAAACATAATGATTTACACAGAACAGGTGCGAGAAATAGATTGATATATCTAACTTATATCAGTTTATGCAAACAACTCCAACCACAAGGACCATTCGATCCATAGAATGCATATTCATTATGTTTTTTCTGTTTGATCTTGATCAGTATATCTTGTACACTTAATAGTCGCAGTTTTTTTTTTCTTTCTTTAGTTTATTTTAAGTGTTAGGTATGTTCATTTTTTCTTTGATTATGCAGACTATTGGTAATTTTTGTTTGTGTGACTTTGAGTGAGTATTTGATTATGCAGACTATTCCAAGTCGGTTATATTCATAATTCCATACTTAACTTAGTTTAAAAAATAATATAGATTTTTTAAGGTGTGTGTGTTATAGATTTTTGTCAAAATAACTGATAATGTGTCTAAGAGATGAACTGTTTGAGGGCCTCATTTTACAAGTAGAGAATAAACAAGTATATGCTCCTGTGTGATGCAAAGCACGAACGATAGCATACAACTGCTTATAGAGTACTTGAGTTTATCATTGTTAAGTTCTAGTGTTTGAAGCAATACAACTAACATCAAATATTTGGTCAAAGTTAGGAATGGGTGGTACAAGTTCTTCAGTTAAACACTTCTTTAGCTTTTCAAAGAATTGGAAACAGTCTCCTTTGAAGCAGTGACTAAGAGGGGAAACAATTGAGCTAAAAAATTTAGATGCTAAAAATTTATGGGAACCAGTCTCCTTTGATTGAGATGCTTTCATCCTTTTAGCCGCTCCTCCAAGCCCTCTAACATTGTTAATGATAATCTTTATTAAGTAATTGATTCACCTAAAAAAAATTGGGAATTTCTTTGTACTTCTCTTAGGAGTGGAGAAAACTTCTAAAAATTCGAAAATACCTTTTGGAGATATATCTCCAAATGCCCAAATCAAAGTGTTTCAGAGATGCATTTTCGAAAAAAATTTGTTTGAATTTGGACATTATATTTAAACATGCAGTGATATTTTTGGAGATGCATCTTCGAAACACCCTGATTTAGTTCCTTCGGAGATGCATCTTCGAAATACTCTGATTTGCTTCTTCCAGAGATGCATCTCTGAAACACTGGACAATAATATATATATTTTTAAATCATCAATGTGTTGATAAACAATTAGATGAAAACGATAATAAAAATGCAAACGAAAAATGATAATAGACACAATAAATTGTTTAAAATAAAAAATAACAATACAATATTTGTTTATAAATTATTCTGAAATTAAAAAAAAAAAAAGAAATAGTGTACTGCGTATGCCTGATCCTCACTCCCTGACCCCTCCTCTGTCTCATGTATCTCTCTGCACTCTCTGCCTCCCAAACTATCCTCTCTATAACGGCCACCGCCTCAGGACCGCCCCGATCAATGATACCTATGTCCAAAGCCTCCCGCCCAATCATCTATATTCGCTGACAGATCGACAAGAGATCAATGACATGGTCATCCTCGGCCTGCTGGTTCTCTAAGGTCTCCTCATGAGCTGACCTAGGTGGACGTCCAGAAGCATCCAGTGTCATGATAGGATGTGACACTGTGTAGAACAACCATGTCACTGTGTAGAACCTTGTCTATAACGCTCTACGAGAACAGATTTTTACCTCTAAAAAATTAAGTGTTGTCGTAGAGTCAAAATGTTGTAGTGGTATCCCTCAACACAGTGCCAATTGCTGGATGCCTGCATCATCAACACTCCTCTGGCACCAAATGATGCTCTTAGACCTGAAATATGTCATCCAGGTCTCGACGGGGAATGGTGTCGGAAGCAGCCTGAAATGGAGATCTGTGTATGGTTTGCACATAACCAAACTGCCGCATGCACTACTTCAGTAGATACCTGACCATAACGCCACTCCCACATGTTAGACACCTAGAGTACAGTGAGATGGATTCGAACTGGATAATCTCTTGGTGATCCTCGAACAGTGTCCTTAGGATGTCATATTGGACAGTCTGATCCAGATACACCCGGAACGACAACAGAGCCTGGTTTCCTCTGTTGAGGACATACATAGCAACCTTCGGCATGTGCTCACTATACTGCATATCTAGCTCAAAACCATGGATGCGGTGGAAGTGGGAAATGATCCAGTCCTGAAAAACGAATAAGATTCATGTAAGAACAAATTATAATTATTAATAGTAAATTAAATTTAATAGTTGGAATGAAAATTACCGTCAGAAGTGTAGTAGAGCCTGTCAGCTTCTGTGTCCTCTTGTTTGAGGCTTCATTCAGCTTTTGGTACATGTATACCAAGCAGTCATCCCCCAGTTTCACTCCCTCACTGTATCCAAATCTATGAAGTATCATAGGTATGTTACATCCACGTTGTTAGCACTTTTGTCCATAAAAATGGACGTGTCAACCAAGAACATGAAGTAACAACTCAGAGCACACTGACGGTGATAAAGTACCAAGAAGTCGTCTCCCTCGGACTCGGAATTAGCTGCCACAGAGAGGTGTTGGTGATATAGGTACTCAAGGAATGAGAACTTGGCATGAGCTATATTGGTGGAGAAACACTGCTAAATGCCTTTTCTGGTTTAGCTCCCAGATAGTTGATCATTCATTTAATCGCATCATTATGATCGATCTATGAGTGGTTAAGTAACCTCTCTCTGATAGAAAGGTGTAGCAGAAAGGTGATGTCATCAAGTGTGGTCATCATCTACCCAACATACAAGTGGAAAGATGACGTCTCTTTGTGCCACCTCTCGACAAATGCCCCCTACATGTCGTGGGTGATGGTCTTGGAACCAGAACAACAAAGACCGACAAGTCCGGAGGCAAAAATGGTCTCTCAACCAATCCTCATCAGGGTGATACAACTCAGATATCTTTCGTGCGTGGTTCATACACTTTAGTGGACGTCGTTCCTATAAAGATAAATAATTAATATCAATTTTAATATATTAGTGCGTAAATCATTAAAATGAAAAGTGTAACAAAAAATAATATGCATGTCCCTCCGAAACATATCGAGCGACATGATTGGTGTAATAGATCAAGAGGGATGTGTCAGACGGTCCTCCTGGAAAATGCGGGTTAGCCTCCTCCTCGACTTCCGGAACATCAACCATTTCGGATTCCGGAACCTGAACCTGCTCGGGTTCCTCCTCGTAATCCCTAGACGAGGACACACGTGAAAGGTGACTCCTCAGAGCAGAATTCGATGTTCCCTCCACTTCTTCCCGTGGTACGCGACCACGTCCTCTACGCCTCGCATGTTAAAACAAGATTAGTTCTGATCATATCTGAGTTTTGATGATAACAATAAAATATATTTTATATAATTGATACTCTGATGAACATATTTATTTGTTTCAGGTAATATTCTGACTGAAGTATTTTCTTAGATGAAAATCATTTTGACGTGCTGAGCTGAAAATAAATGAAGAAGTTCTTTGATGAAAGAACTATTTGTTTTAGCGCAAGTTCTGATGCTGACTCTGATAAGAAACTATTTTATGCCTCTTCTAAAGCTTAGCAAGTTTCCATGTAAACTATGTTCAGAAGTTTTCTACAAAGCAAGCGCTGATAAGAAGATTTGCAAGCATACTCTGAAGCAATACGTGAAGCTAGTTCTGAAAGAATAAAGAAGCTAACAAGTCTTGTCAAGTTTCAGGAAACATGCTCTGACAAGTGTCATTTGTTCATTTAATGCAAAGACGGCTACATGCACTCAAGTGTCTACGCTAGTTCATTGGAAATAGAAATACTGCAAGCAAACACGTAAACATTAATTGCTCTCCACTTTTGAAGGCAGTGACAGTCATTTTCTTCATGCTATAAATAGAAGATCATTTATTGCAAGCCAACAACTCAACAAATTCAAAAGACCCAATAACTTGAAAATATTCTGTTGGTCACAAATCATTTTACAAACACTTTGTACAAAACTAATCTTAGTGAAAAATCAAATTTTGTGATATAGCTTTCTAAGAAGCAATTTGTTTCACTATCTGTAAAGATTTAATTCTTGTATTTGTTCCTTGAGAGATCAAGTTTGGTCAGATTTCTCAAGAAGGCTAGGACTAGTTTGAGTCTTAGTGGTGTTAGTCACTTGTAAGTTTACTTGTGTATTGTATTGTTAGTCATAACAGTTGTTGTATGATTGTAATCAGTTTGATTATAGTGAATTAAGTCCTTGTTGAGAAAGGCGAAATCACCTTGGCGGGTGGACTGGAGTAGTTTGAGTTCAAACGAACCAGGATAAAAATAACTGTGTCTTTCCATTATTGTTAAGCCTTTAATAAAAAGAAAAATAGAAACTTATTCAACCCCCTCCCCCCCCCCCCCCCCCCCCATTCTAAGTGTTTTCTCACCTTCAATTGATATCAGAGATTGACTCTGAGCGCAACACTTAACCGTGTCAGGAAAAGATCCAGAAAGAAAATACAATGGCAACTGAACAAAACAACAATAGCTGCAACAAACCTCCTGTATTTGATGGAGAAGATTTTAAATATTGGAAAGATAGACTAGAAAGTTTCTTTCTAGGTCATGATAGTGATTTATGGGATATAGTCTTGGATGGTTACACACATCCTACAGACTCAGAAGGAAACAAAATTGATAGAAAAAATATGGATAGACAACAAAAAGCTGATTTCAAAAATCACCACAGAGCTAGAAATATTTTTCTAAACGCTATCTCTAAAATGGAATATGAGAAGATCACAAATAGAGATACAACACATGATATGTTTGAGTCTCTCAAAATGACTCATGAAGGAAACTCTCAAGTGAAGGAGACTAAAGCTCTGGCTCTCATCTAGAAGTATGAAGCCTTCAAGATGGAAGAAAGTGAATCTATAGAAGCTATGTTCTCAAGGTTCCAAACTCTGATCGCTGGCCTGAGAGTTCTGAACAAGGGATACACTAAGGCAGACCACGTCAAGAAGATTATCAGAAGTCTACCCAGAAGATGGGCTCCTATGGTCACTGCTTTCAAAGTATCAAAAGATCTGAACAACGTGTCTCTTGAAGAACTCCTCAGCGCTTTAAGAAGTCATGAGATAGAACTTGATGAGCACGAGCCTCAGAAGAAAGGTAAGTCTGTTGCCCTTAAATCAATTT